GCCGTCTGTTACGTCTCTCAAATCTCGTCAACCACGAAGGCCCGCGTGCTCGGAGACATTACCATGCAAGAATACTGTCTTTCAAATTGTTACTATCATGTTCGAATTGAGAGACCAAAGTCCTGATATGTACGGTTTGGCCCGAATCTGCGTAAATGGAATGGCTTAAAGATGGAGCCATAAATAGTGTGATCCATTATACGATTTCCCACCAGAAAAGCGGTTATTCGCATCTACGGGACTCTCCTTCTTCGATCTCTCGAGCTTTTGTGATACTTCCAGATTATGAAATAATACATTACTCTGCGCTTAACTATAGTGAGTACTTTGAGATGCTTATTGGTAAGTGGTCCTGCCCATATTTGCTTGTGCTACCATATCGTTATGCCGGCGGAGCTAGGGTGTTGGTGTTGACATTCGCCATGTTCATTGCTGGCTCAACTCACGCATTTGAACATTAGTGGATTCGCTATTTTCAAGAAGGTTTCTTGGGCACCTTAATATATGTGATATTACTTTGCTTCTGCAAGGTTTAGTAAGTGTCATCGATGCTATTTCACCACACGACATGTGAAATCGCATCCCTCGCTTATTTCAGAGTTTAGATCTATTCTATATCCTCCTAGTCTGACTTACCACGCAGCCGCTATATCCACCGCCCTGTCAGTAACCTGTCGCCCATCTGAGGCTACTGGGTCTAGGTCTGTGTGACGCTGGATCTAGTAAGGCGTGGGATGGACGGCACACAGGAAACTAAAGTTGCCATGAGATGGCAGATTTTGGGGACTCGACGGGGACTCGACAGGGACACAAGGCAAGATGTATATTGTTGCAACATTTTAAAACCCTGGTGTCGCTCTGGTGGGCGGATCTTGATGCCGAACCATCTCATTTTCTTCTGCCGTTCTCTTTATACTACAGCTTTCTGAGTCGTTCGTCAATCATCATCAAGCAAGGCTTGCAGAAGCCATAATCGCTCTGGTCATGCACTCATATTTGGAGCTTTGAACCATGTTCTCAGCCTTAAAGCCCGATCTACAACGCTCGAGGTAGTCTTTTGGAGGAAGTGTGCTTTGTAGTAGCCATGGCCGAACCAGGCTACGTCCCACCCATTCTGACCCTTCCCCTCGAACTGCGGGAGCAAACATACAGGGAGGTGTTATCGAATCCTTCTCACGATCCAGTGTTCCTTAGGGCGTGTCGCAAAGTATACACCGAATCGCACAAGTTTCTCTTCCATCGTCCTCTACCTTCCGTTCCCAATCCGCCTCCTACCAGTGGCTCAATCAAGCGCCCGATAAATACCTCCATCATGTTACTGAAGCCACCCTTGTACTTCAGGATGTTGATCTGACACTGCTATTGGATACTCGCAATACGGTGCAGGCTCCCTACATGCCTCCTCTACTAGCCTAGGAACCTCACGAACGAGAGCTAAAAATGCTGTCAGAATCTTTGGGGAAATTGAAGAATGTCAACAGGTTTACAATCAGGGCTCTTCCAGATCGACAATCATTTCTCTATCGTGAGTTCTTGGATCAGTTTCTGGACATCCTGGGTCCTGCCTACCCAAGTCTACGACATCTCGGCCTAGAAGGCAACTTCCACCATCAAAGCCTCTCCTTCCTATCCTCGCTGCAAGAACTTCGATCTCTGTCCTTTGATGGCTTCTCCGCGTCCTTACCCACTGAAACAGCGACACTATCCGGCCTACCTCATCTCACAAACGTCTCGCTTGTATCACAACACTCAGTTTTGACACCAACTATCTACATTCATAGCAGCTTTACTAAGCGCCAATCCTTCACGGCCGATGTCCTTCTTGCCATCAACCCACTAACGTCGTTCTCAATTACCAAACGTAACCATTCGGAAGAATTGGCGGGCCTCCATTTCACCCCGAAATACTATCCTCTCTATACTCTACGCACAGCGGCATGATGAAACTCCTCCGCATCTATCTCTCCCGCACACCAGAGAACGAGATACTTTAAGCCCTCCAAGAGCTCCTCGAAGCGTCGCGAATCCAGCATTTGGAACTCAGCTAGACCGACTTCGACCCGGAAATTCTAGATACGCTGCTGTTCGGCTCGTTAAAACGCTTTGTATAGATATGAGCTTCTTGGCTATGACGTTTAATGTGTTGTGGGGTATCTTGCAGTGTAAGGAAGCGAGAACTGTTCTTGATGTAAGAGAGGTAGCAGATGTATGTAGAAACTCAGACAGTGACATCACGGAGGTCAGTGATGTCCTTAGTGATACTAGTGATGGTGGGGTGGATATCTCAGATTATGTCGAGGGAGGAGTGAAAGAGTGGGAGAATGGGGATGATGGAAAAATTGGTAATAATCAGGTGAGCTAGCTCTTTCGGTTTGATACCCACACATGGGGCACATAATAAGGGGAACACCAAAGCGCGATTTGGAATTTTGCTTGCCCCTAGCCGTACGCGAACCCCCTGTAGTCTCAAAGTCTTTGGTAGTATACCTGTTTTTGAGTCCGTACATGATCCTGTTGGCAATATTATTCTGCGTACGGGATCCGTGGATGGGTATTGTCAGACGCGTACCTTTTAGTTTGCTACTCTTTTGATACCTTGGGTGACTGCTTGTTGATGATGGATGCTGAGATTGTTGTGTTGTTGGATGGATCCGATGCTGATGCCAATGAGTCAAGCGAATCGATGCGGTCAGATGTTGAACTTGGTAAGAGACGATTGAGAGGATTAGGTGTGCCTGTTCGATGAAGGACTAAAGACGATTGAACCTAGTGGGACATTCCAAACTACATCATCTCCACCACCTTTCCTTTAGCTCTACGCTGCCTGTAATTATGGCTATAGAAACCTTTGTAGGGCTAGATCTAGATAACTACGTAAGACGATTTCTAATTCAGCTAGTAATTTAGCATAGTATGTATGTAGAAGTCCAAGATGTATTACTGTGTCCCCCGCCGAGCTGGAAGGGTTCTGTACTTTGATTCGTGGAGTTTTATAGATATCAATTTCTTTTGTCCAGATAGAGTGTCGCCACAGATAACCAAGAGAAATGAAATGCTCAAATACATATTTTATGAATCAATACTCTCCATGGTATTCTACACAAACGCAGTAATGCTACTAAACTTTTAAAGAAAAAATAGTTTCCACGCACATGCCTATAGCCTCGCAACTTCCACCGCTTCCCTCGAACTATAATCCTGGCTCAGTCTATCCTTGCTAGTGCTTCCCTTTCTTCTCAGCTCAGGCCGTCTCTCTACCTCAATATCCAAGTCCTCAACCATCTTTTCCCATCCCCGAGCCGCCCTAGATGCCAACTCTTCAACCACGCCTTCATTCCTTCGCTCCATGTCGCGATTGTAAAGCTCGAAACTAACCCAGCCTTCGTACCCGACGTCCTTGATAATCGCTTTCGCAACATCTTTCACAGGCAGGTACGCACCCCTGTCCTCCTCGCCGTAGAATAATCTGCAATTTCGGGACCACGACATCCTCGCAGGCTGCTCCTCGTTCCAAAATCGATGTTCCTCTCTTAATGGCTCATCAAGCCTTTCCGCACCTACAATCTGAATGAAGAAAATCTTCTCCTTGTGCGGTTTAATTTCTTTTACAAGCCTTGCCATACTTTCGCGAACTTCTTGCTCCGCGTGAGGCGTGCATCCGGTTGGTGACGCAGGATCAGCATATATTCTCCCCAGGATGTTGAAACTATCCAAACATATACCAACATTTGATCTATCAACTCGTCTCACGATATCCCAGCATTGCTCCCACTTATTGATATGGGTCCCCCAAGCCAGACTCTCGTATGCAAAGCGCATTGGTGGATCGTGCTGGAAGCCTAGATCGGAGAGTTCGAGGAAGTCGGATACAATGAGGTCTACGTCGCCGGAAATCTGCTCTGCGGGAAGGAAGGAGGATGGAACTTGTATTAGATCCGTGCCCAGCTCCAGAGCGATCTCTATCCATAGGCGCATTTCTTCGATCCTCTCTAAGTGCTTTGATCTGTCCAACAAACCCTCATAATGCGTGAATGGTTGGAGACATATTATTGAGAGAGAGAGAGAAGAGCAAAGGGTCCGAATGTAGCGGGCCGCAGCGAGGAGATTGGAGCGAGTTGGTGGGCGCGCGAGGTCAGACAGGTCTTCGTAGAAGATCTCGATGCCTGCAAGGGAGTACTTCGAGGCCATTGCCAGCTTGTGCGAGAGGATGTGGTTGGCATAGCATCGGCCCAAGGACATAGAGGAGATGCCTGGTTTACAGGGCATAATGGGTGATGCGATCGAGGGATGGATGTAAGTAAGGGGTAAAAGATGGATGAAAGATGGGAGTCTCGAGAGATAAGTATTATGGGTGGGATGGAATGAAATACGAAGTTAAGGAGTCACCTTGACTGATAATATCGATCTGAATCTAAAGTAGAATGAAGAATACAGAGACTCCAAACGCTGAATATTAGGTGAAGAAGATACATCATATGATATGGGTGAAACTCTCGCCACTTTCCTGATTAGGTGTAGATGGCGAATAAATGGGTGAATTGTGGGTCCTACAGTTGCGAAGCGGAAGAGGGAATACGCCGGACATGTCATCTTGCCTCAACAGCCGTTCCTGGCCGGGTGAAGGCTGGATAGTGATGCTTTCTGTGGATGATGGTGCTGGTCAGGGTAAAGTCTTGGGATGATGTTACTGGAGATGACGCTTTGACCACCCGGAAGAGGACTTTTCCACCACCAACCCGAGTGTGTCGAGTGGAGATCCCGAAGAACTTCTGACCCTTTGTAGTCATGTGCGCATTGTAGTTCGGGAATTACGTACCGTTCTAAATTTAGAAATAACTCAAGATAATCGGTGTGACGTGCTTCCCCTCTCGGCTATGAAGGAAGGCGCACTTGTGGTGTTATGACCCCAATGCTTTTTGCGGAATACTGTAAGTTTTGACTTCTAAACATATTAAGAAATATATTATATAACTAAATCCAAGAAATTCAAAAATGCCCAAGACAGCGTGCCAGAGTGGTTAATGGGTATGACTCGAATTGGAACGATATCATATGACTTCGGTGTATGTCCTAAACTTATCTCAGTCTAAGAAATTAATTTAATTAACAAATTGTAGCGCACAGGTTCGAATCCTGTCGCTGTCGGCAATATCTTTTTTTTCTCAAAATAAATTTTATACATATATATATGTATATGAATAAAAAACCATTTTCTGAGAGAAAGTACATGTAACTAAAATTGAAAAGATGCAGTCTTGTTGCAGTCGGAGTTAGGGCTCTGATCTTATAACTAATGAATTTGTCCTTGGTGTCTTAATCTTCCTCTGTCTTCTTTCCAGATTTCCATCAATATTGTTTTATCAGGACCTCTTTCATTATTTGGCGGTGGATGAGGTGTTTGTCAGCGGAGGAACGCTCTGGAGGAACGAATGTGGTTGGTCGAAAATAGTCTGGCTCCAAAAGCAGTTGCAAATCAACACCGGTGAAGAATCGACGCAGAATTCCCATCACTCCTTCCTCAACTCCCTTAGTGCAGTCTCCTTTTCTAAATCATTCCTTCAAGCCCCATTAAAATCGCCATCGTCGGTACCGGTCTGATAGGACCCAGGCATGCGGATGCAGTCCTCAACAGAATGTCAAACTAGTCTGCATCGTCGATCCAAGTCCTGTCGCAGAAGCCGTTGCGCAAAAGCTATAATGTCCCCTCTTCACTTCGATCCAAACCATGCTCACATCATCTTGCAAACCAGATGTGGCCATTGTTTGTACCCCTAACCATACCCATGTCTCCGTATCCAAGGAGCTTTTAGACGGTGGCGTGCATGTGCTCTGCGAGAAGCCAATATCTGTTGATGTTGCGAGTGGTCAGGAATTGATGAATCCCCATAAATTGATTGAGATAGCTTTTGAACTGTTGTCTAATTAAGCTAGATCAAGCATGCCGCGTCTTGTAAGCTCCATCTCCTAATCGGCCATCATTGTCGTTTCAATCGCTACGTTCTCGCCACTAAAACGTTCCTCCCGTCACTTGGATGCATAATAGCAATCAGTGTTATTTGAACTATATACAAACCGCCCGAATACTTTCGATCCACCGACTGAATGGCATCGTCTAGACTCTGCAGGTCCTATCCTGATCAATCTGATTCACGAGATCGACATTCTTCATTACCTGCTTGGACCTATCATCCGTGTGCATGCAGAGGGACTGTGTCTCAACGAGGACATCCCGCGAAGGAAGGTGCAGCTATCACATTAAAGTTCGCGAGTGGGGCAGTAGGGACGTTTTTGCTTTGCGATGCGGTGGTCTCGCCGCATAATTATGAGGCAGGGACCGGGGAGAATCCTACGACTCCCCGAGTTGGAATGGATTTTTATGGAATCTTTGGGAGTGAAGGGAGTTTGAGTGTTCCAGATATGACACTCTGGACTTACGCAAATGGGAAAAAAGGGTTGGAATGAGAAGCTTGAATGTGAGAAAGTGCAGGTGCCCGAGATGAAAATCCCTTTCGAGTTAAAGATTGGGCATTTTATTAGAGTTATTAATGGCCAGGATGCTCCGAGTTGTCCTGGTGAAGGACTTAGAGCTCTAGTAATTTGTGAAGCTATCAGAGAGTCTTTGAGACAGAAGCGCCCGGCAGACGTTCCATTGGAAAATGAAACAAAGTGGGGTAACAGTATAGGTGAAGGTTTGAATTCGAATGTGTTATCTCATCCTTTGGCTCTGCTCAAAGGCGGGCCCATAGTCTGAGCAAATCAACTCTTCGTCCAAAATGCTTCAATCACCCTCCCTGGTCCAATTATACTTCATACATCATGGTCATCATTCCTGGCTATCACTCCACTTCCAGTTTCATTTACACATTCTCAACTCTCTCTTCAGCCTTTGTCTTCTCAGCACTCAACCCCGCACCCTCAGCATCATGCCTAAACTCCTCATCCTGATCCTTTAACTCTTGCATAACAACAGCATGCGCCTTGGGCACCGGCTTGATCTCAAACAGCCTATCCATGTATTCCAACGGGATCGACTTTGTTTCTGGAAGGAGGAAGTACACGAAGGGAATAGAAAGAATCATGAGCGAGGCAAAGAAAAAGTACACGCCGTAGCCCATCTTGAGGAACATTTGCGGCGTGAAGCGAGAGATGATGAAGTTCCAGAACCAGTTGTTTGCTGCGGCGGAGGCTTGTCCGAGAGAGCTATATAAGCAATTAGCCACGATGTACGAAGAGTCGGGGTTAAATAGCTTACCGAGTATTCTGGCTGAACATCTCAGAGTTGACGACCCATGGCGTGCCATTCCAAGATGGCGTATAGAAGAATGTCCAAAGATAGAAGAAGAAAATCGCTGCGATGCCGCCGGACGAGAGATTCGTGTTCTTCTGGTTGGCGCTTGGGCTCGAGAGCTTGATGTAAGCACCAATAAACCACATGCAAAACGAGCCTCCTGCAGCTCCAAACATGAGTAGTTTACGGCGACCAAGGCGATCGATGAGCCAGAGCAACCAGAAGAACGTGACCACAGTCTTCACGACACCGAAGATTCCAGTCGTAAGGAAACCAGTGCTGGTTCCCTGGATGCCAATTGACTTGAAGACTGTGGGCGAATAGTAGTTAATGGCGTTGATACCGGACCCGTTCTGCCACAAAAAAAGCATGCCGCCGACGAAGAATCTCCAGAGCACCTTTCGTTGCCTAAGTGCCGCAAAAGGCCTCCAGAAACCTGGTCCGATGTGGATCCTATCTTGTTCGATTTGGGCGTCGATGGCCGCGACTTCCTCAACCATGTAGAGGTCGTCAGCTGGGAGATTTCGGATCCAGCAGAGGTTTTTGAGCGCTTGCTCGCGTTTACCCTTAGTAAAGAGCCATCGAGGGGATTCCTTAATCCAGAGAGCGCCGATCAGAAGCATACCAGCTGGGATGAGCTGCACTGCGAACGGAATGATCCACTGCTTGTGCGAAGGGGCCATGGTTTCTTGGAGTCCATAGTTAATCCAACTATGTGCCTGTCAGCTAAGACCGAAGCATGAAAGTATCCACTCCCACTTACAATCCAACAAGCCCACCAAGCTGCCAGCCAAGTTCGTAGATGCCGACCAATCGACCTCGAACAGCAGGAGGAGAGAGCTCAGAAATGTAAATAGGCACCATGTTGGATGCTGCACCAACGCCGAGGCCTGCTAGTACTCGACCACCAATGATCAGACCCAGACCTCGCTCCCTGTTGGCACCAAGCATCATTCCAGCACCGAGGATAAAGACCACAACCCAGATCAAGAGGCTCTTCCTCCTGCCGAGAAAGTAACTGGAGACATATGCTCCAAAAGCTCCAAAAAAAGCACCAGCCTGGTAGACAGAGACAATGTTGGACTTGACAAGAGCTAGGTGATCAGGGTCGTAGTCTGCAAATCGGAACTCTTCTGTGAATGATGGGAGCGCTAATGTCGTACCGACTATATTTTCGTTAAAGATGTCCCACGGGAAGAGATGCTTCGAAGTACTTACTGAAGGCTGAATCGTATCCGATCATACATGATGCGAAAGATGCGATGGAGGCCACGGTGTAGACTCGCCAGTTGTAGACGGCCTTAGGCGTCGGCCTGTCCTCAACGAAGGCGAGGATGCCCATTGTGAGAATAGATTCTCGGAGGCGTGAAGCCGCAAAGAGTATCTAAGACCTTCAAGAAAAGAGAAGAATGAGGTTGGAGAGATGGGAGATGAGAGGAAAAGGAAGGTGATGTTGATGACTCCACAAAGACAGACCAGGGTAGAGAACAGGCTTTACCTATATATCTGCTCGGGGACGCGCGCAATCTCGATGTTTCGTGGAGAGCAAGCCACAGCACCATGGGGATGAATGCGAGTTGGTGTTCCGGGCTCCTCAGCAGTCCAGGCCCTGGATCTTCCGAGATGATGGAAGAAAAGTTTTCCAAACACCAGGAACCATTTCCGACATATCACCGCATGGTGGAGAAGTTTCCCATGGCGAATTCCCCGGATTGGGGTGCCTTGGCAGATCTTCTCTCCGCGTCCTTACCCCGAAGGGTGATGGTGTGGTAGCTGGGGCGCTGACGGCAGTTCGGCGAAAATCGCCGGGTAAGAGCTTTCTCCTCGCGTATTTATTCACTCGTCGGAACGATGCCTGTTCTTGGAATTCATGACTCGGGTGAACGTTGTTTTCTTTTGCCCCGCGGATGAACCATGTTCATGCACTAGTGTTTTTTGAGAAATGTGATATTATTATTTTAGGCAGGGCTGACCTATTTGGCATTGATTAGCGATGGATCTAGCATTTACAACGACCAAATCGCTATTTGCGAGCATTGTTCCAAAACCTCCTGCTCCGTAGTTTCAGTTTTGATCTTCACATTCTCTCGACCTATCTCAAAATGTCAACAGAAACACCATCAACAGCCCACGTAGAGCGGCATGGCTACCTATTCGGGCATCCAATTGCTCACTCAATGTCTCCCCTACTCCACCAAACCGTATACGATGGTCTAGGCTTGAAGTGGTCACAATTCCCTCTTGACTCCCTTGACATGGACCTCTTCCTGAAGCTTAGACGAGATCCGAACTTCTATGGTAAGCAACTTACTGATATCCGATGTCGAGCACTTGTCGTAACTTGGATCATAGGTGCTTCAGTGACGATGCCCCACAAAGTCGCCATCTTGAAGCATCTGGATGGTCTTACCCCTGAAGGTGCTGCAGTAGGTGCTGTCAACACGCTTTTCATTCGACAAGACCAGGCAAGCGGAAAGCGCCTATACATGGGCACAAATACAGATGTTATTGGCATCCGAGATTCCTTCTACCACAACATATCCGACCCTGACGCGAGTTTCCATGGTAGGCCAGGATTGGTGGTAGGAGGTGGAGGTGCAGCGAGAAGTGCTGTGTATGCCTTACGGACATTCATGAAGGCGAGCAAGATATATCTTGTAAATCGAGATCGAAGTGAAGTAAAGGCTGTAATAGACGAATGTACCGCACGAGGGTATGGGAGCGAGCTCATTGACGTGTCAACGGTGGAGCAAGTAGAGGAATTGGAAGGACCGGGAGCCATAGTGTCATGTGTACCAGATTTTTCACCCAAGAAGAAAGAAGAGAAACAGGCAAGAAGGGTGTTGGAATGCTTTCT